TGTAATTAGTCAGTATAGTACAGTAGATCACAGGTCGATGGCATCCTTCAGTCTCGAAAGACTATGGTATCATGCTCTGTATCGAGGACTTGGAACAGCATCTAGTGTGGCTGAGAAGGCCAATTTGAGAGTGACAATCCCTTCCACACTTAAGACAAATCCAATCTGTCCCCTGTCCAACTCCCTGGTTTTGCTGCTTTCGTAACTGCCTCTTTGCCTCAGCCTGCTGGACAAGGGTCTCTTCAAATTGGGCCTCCAGGATGAACGCTCAGATGTCAAGATTTTCCATCTGTTGAGATCCATTCCTGTTGAGATCCATTCCCATCTGTTGAGATCACATCCAAGATAAAATTAAAGCTAAGCCAATCTAAAAGACCTGGGGGAGATTGTTTTTGTCAGGCATCAAATGCCCTAGGCAGAGGGGGAGAGAGAGGAATCCAGGCAGTGGTGCCACCACCAAAAAGCTCACCCCCTTCTGGTTCTCAGAACTAGAAGTTCAGAAGTGTATTTCTTCTAAGCATGGGCAATGCCTGGCTTCCCCGATGTTGAACTCTTTGCCCTTGGTCATGCTAGCTGGGGTGAATGGGAATGGTTACAGTTTTTTATTCTCTAGAGATTCTGCAAGTTGCTGCCCCCCAAAAAAGGTAACTTTCATCTTGGCAGGATTAACCTAGATGGATTGACTGACTCAGCATAAAGGCAACTACTTATGTTCCTTAGGAGGCTAAATCATCAACAGAAGTTTCCTAGTAGTGGTTGGTAGGGCAGAGAAAATGGAGAAGTGGAAGACACATTGGAAAGAGGGTTTGTGAGAATGAAAGGAATGGTCAGTCATACAGCTATCCCAGAGCACAGTAACTTATTATTCAGCAGTATTTGTCAAGCAAAAGTATGCTCCATAAGCTGCACTACTGTATTTTAGTCACAAGTTCACATGCCTGTCAGGCTCGTGGTGCTTGTCACAATATTTCCTGTTTAAATTCCCAGAGAGCAGCCAGCTATTTATGCAGTTATGTTGCTGTGTGCAGGGTTACACTTGGTCTATACAACTACTGGCTTATATTCTTGAATTGTGTGCTGGGCCCAGAGGGGTAGGCTATGGGGAGGATTAGGTTCATTGTAAATGGAGACAATTTTGAATTTGGAAAGGGGTATCTCTAACTATGAAGAACTAAATAGTAAGTAATGGACTTATATCTTAATGCTTTCAAGCCTTTGATACATTATTTTGAACAGTCATAGAACAGATGATGATGAGTGTCTAATCTGAGTAGCAGCAACCTTCCAGAATCAAAAGATGGAACCAGCTCTGCCATTCTGTAATTCTGTCTAGACCTTTGATTCGGGAGAGTTGCTTTCGGTTGGACTAGATGCTCACAGATGGAAACAGGGTGGGCAGCCTCAGCCCCTGGGGCCAAATTAAGGCCTCCCAATCTTGCCTGTGGCACCATTGTTTGGTTTCTTAGATTTCATACGGTTTTTCTGTTGTAAAACTTTGAAAGATTTTTAGTCAAAACGATACTGCTATTTTTCATCATATACTTTCCCCTTTTACTCAATCCATCATTGAAGTGTGGCCATCAGAAACCTCTTCGAGATTGAATTCAGCAGTTGGGCTGAAAGACATCATGAACTAGATCAGAAATGGGCAATTTGGGGCTCTTCAAATCCTCATCAGCGTCAACTCCGATGACCTCCCTCACCACTGGCTTTGTTAACAGAGTTAATGGGAGTTGCAACCCAGCAACACCCAGAGAGCCGCATCCTATCCATTCCTAGACTTAGATGAACAAATTAGCCTGACCTGGCATAAATGCAGCTTCCATGGTATGAAGCTTTGCAAACTCTCTTAAACTGTTGAATTGTAGCTTGTTATTGATATGGACCCTCCATCTATCGATTGAAAAAGGAAATAAAAAAATGAAAGACATTCATCTATTCAGTGTGGAAAGAATATTATTCTATTTTGAACTCTCAGTGGAAGCTAAAATGACTAAATTGAGTCCAGTGTACTTTTTACTTAAGTCGCACAGGAGAAGATCTGCTCATGACTCAGCCTTCCATCCTTCTGAGGTCCTTCGACTGAGTAACCAGCTGGTGGGGGTGGGGAAGGAATGTGTTGTCTGCATAATTAAATTGTAAACTGCCCAGAGAGTGCTTTAAGTGGAGTAGTATGTAAGCAGAATACTTTGCTTTTTTCTTATGGATCTTCAAGTTGCTTCAGACTTAATGGCATATTTGATGTGGTTGAGATGTTCAAGGAATGATTACCATTTTCTCTCCCCACCCCCCACCCCCATGTAAACCATGGTAGAGCAGGGGTTTCAACCTAGTTTTGAGTCTCTTGAGTCCTAGTCCGATACTCTATCAACTACACTTCATTATACTTTTAGATCTTGAATTCGACTCAGATTCATAGAGGCTTTACAATACAGTACTTTGTTTTCTGATGATGCCGCCTGCTTACTTTGAGGGGAGATGTGTCCTCATTTCTTTTTACAGGTGGTGAGACTGAAGATCTTGGGCCACTGATGGCCCATGATTGAAATGGAAGTGGAAGAGATCTCATCCTGTAGTAGAGGAAGGAGTAGATGGCCCATCTGCTTGGAGCCTATGGGTGCTTTGTACATGGCATAGTGTTCTGTCATTTGTATGGAGGTCCAAGGATAGTTTTTCTATCTATAACAGACTCCACAGGTTATAGTGTTGCAGTTAGATCATCAAACCCATTCCACAAACAAGTAGCCCCACATCCACTTTTCCCCCAGAAATGTGTGGTAAAGCTGAACATGTGATGTGATGCATCATGCTCAAGAGTTTCCCTATCTCCATTATCTGCAGTCTGAGAAATGGAGAAGGGAAACTCCATGCCTGATGACATTGCTTGCCACACAGTTCCTTTTTCCTTTCCATGACCTGGGGAAAGAAGAAGGGTCATGGCTTGTGGAATAACCACAGTTTGGTACTTTTTAAATTCAAGAAAAGCATAGCATCCCACATTGTGAGAAGTGGTATTCCTCTGCTCTACTTTGCCCAGACCAAGAGCCTGGTGAAGTTAGTTTTGGTGACTACAAGTTCCAGAATCTCCTAGGGAATTCTAGTCGAAAAAAGTAACTTTGTCAAACTCTCCACATTGAGCTTTGTGTTTGTTTATGGGCACTGCAATTTACATAGTCTGTTGACAAACAGGAACAAAGATGATGTTGGTCCTGGACACCTCTTCCTATAAGAAAAGGTCAAAGGAGTTAGGTATGTTTAGCATGGCAAAGAGACAGTGGAACACTATCTTCAGATATTTGGTAGAGTACCTTTCCTTTCTGTTTCTCCAAAGAGTAGACCCAAACTTGTGGAAGGTCAAGCTATAACAAATTGAATTTTAGTTAAATATAAGGTTGGTGGAAATGGGCAAGTATGGTTAACAAACAGTTTGCATACAATCTAGAGTTGGGGAACTTGTGCTCCTCCAGATGTTGCTAGGCTGCAGCTCTTACAGTTGTTCACACTGGCTTATGGGGCCAGGACTGGAACAACGGTTGGAGACCCACAAGTTCTTCATCCCTGATCTAAAGAACATGTTGATGGTTTAAAAGATTTCTCAGGAAACAGTGGAACTAAGCTACCGTATAGACTCGAGTATAAGCCGACCCAAGTATAAACCGAGGCACCCAATTTTACCACAAAACTGGGGAAACGTATTGACTCGAGTATAAGCCGAGGATGGAAAATGCAGCAGCTACTGGTAAATTTCAAAAATAAAAACAGATACCAATAAAATTACATTAATTGAGGCATCAGTAGGTTAAATGTTTTTGAAGATACTGCCCTTCTGAGCTGCGAGACACACTTCACTGCCTGGGGAGGGAGGACTCATACCAATTGCTGCACTTATCTACTGCTCTACTGCTGCGTAACAAGATGGAAGGAGATGGAGGATGGAGGAGGAAGGTGGGAGGAGGAAGGTGGGGACATAGAATATGCAGAAGGAGGAGGGTGGGAGTGTCCTGGAAGTGGAAATGCAGTGTACTTAACCTGGGTCATCGGACCATCCACAGAGGCTGCAGGCGGCCGTAGATGACCGGGGGAGTCCGGAGAACACCTGGACTGCAGGGGAGAACATGTAATTTTGACACAGACTTGGGTATAAGCCAAGGGGGTGCTTTTTCAGCAAACAGATTGTGCTGAAAAACTAGGCTTATACTCGAGTATATACAGCAGTTAGCACAGCAGCTGAAGAAAAGGCTGGAGAGAGACTGTTAAAGATATGTTTGGTTTTAGATGTCAGTGATTGGAATAAGACCAGATCATCCATTGTACTTTGCAACTTGAAGACTCTGACTTGTATCTTTTGGTTTCCACATGCCAACAGATTGACAGTTGTCTCAAAATATCTCCACTCACACCCCCCATAGCCCTCCCCACACTCCCCAGTTTGTTGCAGAGCAATGGAGGGTTCTCTGGCACAAATATGGGGGGAATGCAGGGTGCAGCTTGAAAAGTTAAATTTTGACGGCAGCTCTTCCAGTCTTGCAGCCAGTATGGCTGTTGATTTGGGGACTTAAGATTTCAAGACCTAACTTTTTCAAGTTTTGTTCCGGGAGGAAGGAAAGAAAGAGAGGTTTCTATTGTTGAGTACAATAATTGACTAGTACTGGATTGCCTGCCCTTCTCTCCCCCTCCCCATCCCTCTGGCAGCTCATCCCTGATCTAGCTGTGGGATGGAAAAGTGGCTGAAGAGTTGAAAGTCTGAAGAGTGATTAGCCAATCCTTCCTTTGGTGTCTGGGTGGAAAATTCCAACTGTGCTGCAAGAGTTCAAGACACCCTCTGCTGACTTTACAACCTAAGTAAATAAGCAGATGCAGCACAGACATTCGCCGTGAATTTTGGGACTCTTACCCACAATTTGTCTACACTGCCCAGAAAGGGGTGGTGCCCAGTTGATGAAGAGCAATTTTATTCACAAAAGCTTGCAATTTGTTAGATTTTTTGTGGTTCAAGAAGCATGCCACCCTACTCTTGTATTTGTGCAATCCTGAATGACACAGCCTTTCCTAATCCTTACCTTGGAGAAATTTTTTTAAATCACTTTTTCTTGACACCTTGCTTGTCTTCGATTACACAGGCCCGGAGCACGGACAGCATTGATGCAACAGGCGAGGGTCAAGTGCGTGCGTTGGGAAATGCAGCAAGCAACATCAAGGGGAAGCCAGCCAAGAGGTAAAATAGGGAGGGTTGAGATGCAAGGGCTACAAGGGCTTGGTCAAAAATTAGCAACCCCGAGGACTGAGATGTAACAGAGGGCTGTTAATTTTTGACCAAGCCCTTGCAGCTGTGCCTTAATAAAAGTTAGTGATGCAGCATTGAGCTTGCACACAGATTTCTTTCATGTAGGTAGTCCTCTGCTGTTTTCATTTTAAAAAATCCAAAATTTAACAATGTCACAACGTGACAAGGTATAATACAAGCAAGTAGGGAAAGCCACAGACGCAAAGCCATTAAGTAATAAAATACAGTGTACTTCCATGCTGTAAAATGCTTCTTGCTGACACTCTGCAGACCAGTTTATTCTTAAAGGCCAGCAAAGCAAGCCAGAATAGATTTACACACACGTCCCTGAGCCCTGTTGGTTGGCAAGTCTGTTTTAATGGAATTGGATGGAAGTCATGATTTGGATGGACGGGCAAAGTATCCCAAAGAAATTAAGAGAGAATGTGACTATGTGTTGTTGCTAGCTTCCTGCCTTTCTCCAGGACTAGACACAATTGTTTGGTGGGGGAGAACACTCTATAGAGGTGATGCTTCATAGAAGCAAGAAGCCTGTTAGGTCCTAGTGGCTGTTTGGCATGAGAGTGAGGTATATCCTTACCAAAAGCTGGTATGGAAGTTCAGTACTTAATTAAATTGAGGGGTGTGTGATAAAATAGGCCTTTGCAGGCCTCATGGTTTTGAATCTTGGTTCCCCAGGTATTACTAGACTACAAATTCCAGAATTCCTTAATGTTTGTCATGTTGCTGAGCTCGTGGGAGCAAGGCCTGAACTTAAAAAACAAAACACAAAGGAAAGGAGAGATGATCTATTTGGACTAAAGATGAGGACGAACCACCATGAACTGGTGGTTCGTGCCGGTTCATACTTCATCCAAACATGTGTTTGGCCCACTCAAAGACAGTCGCTTGGCTTCCCTGCCTCTCCTCCTCTGGATGCTGCCACTGAATGGGTGCCCACCGGAAGAAGTGGGGCTGGGAAGGGCCGAACACATGTTCGGATGAAGTATGAACTGCTGCTTTGAACACATATTGGGAAGAAGTATGAAGTAAGATGAACCATGCTCATCTCTAATTAGGACCAAAATGTCGCAATAGGTTTTCTTACAAGTACAGTGGTGCCTCGCATTACGACGTTAATTCGTTCCAGCGAAATCGCTGTACAACGAAAATGTCGTAATGCGAAATAAAAAAGCCCATAGAAACGCATTAAAACCCGATTAATGCATTCCTATGGGCTTGAAACTCACGGTCCAGCGAAGATCCTCCATAGCGCGGCCATTTTTGCTGCCCGTGCAGCGAGGAATCCGTCCCAGAAAAGAGCGGGGAGCCATTTTTTTTCCCCGCCGGCCATTTTGGAACTGACGATCAGCTAGCCGAAAATCATCATTTTGCGAGAATTGGTTCCCAAAGCAGGGAACCGATCATCGCAAAGCGAAAAAAACCCACTTAAAACATCGTAAAGCGATTGCTTTTGCGATCACAAAAAATTCATCGTGATGCAATTTCGTCGTTAAACGGGGCGCTCGTCTTGCGAGGCACCACTGGTAGTAGTAGGGTTTGAGTTGGGAGACCTGATTTTCACTCTTGTCGCTGACAGAAGTGGGTAAAATGTAACCATTCTGATGTTTTTGGACCGCAACTCTCCTCATCTTTAGCTAGCAGAACCAGTTGCGAGGGATGCTGGGGATTGCTTTCTGCCCTAGACCGAGCCTCAGAATCGTTACCCATGGCAAAGTATTCAATTCCTTTCTTTTTTTAAACCACCTTTTTCTCTGTAGGCTTTCTATCACACGGGGTCACTTCCCCAAGCTGACCGAGTGTGCCCATTTCCACTACGAGGCGGTAGATTTTGGACACATTCAGGTATGTTTCCTTCCTTCTCTTTTCCATGGTTGTTAAGCATCAGCAACTGTCACCATGGCACATGATGGAGCATTATGGTAGCCATTGTGTGTGTGTGCGTGTGAGAAACATTAATGTTGAGTCTTCCCTCAGGTTCCAGGGGTGCTTAAATGTTCTCTCTCCCTGCAGCTGCAGCTGGCACCTGAGCAGAACGAGAACCCCAACAACTTGGAGGAGGGAGACCTGCTGTTTGCAATTCAAGTCACTTGTCAGGTGAGACTGAGAGAAAAGCCGATTGGCCAAAATCTGTTGAGGTGTTTTGTTTGTTTGTTTTTTGGTTGGTTTGCTTCTTACTCTGAACAGAGTTGTCAACTTATTAGTTAACTGGTCAAGATGTTGTTTTAAATTTAATTATTGGGATCCAGACTATTATCCAGGGATGCTGTGTGCTGATACAGGATCTGAGCAAGATCATAGGGCACAATTTTTACATACAGACATAGGGTTATCCATACCATTGTTCAGAGTGAGTCAGTTTAGGCAGTAACATTTTAGTATGTCCTGAATCCATGACAAATGGCTTGTTCTGTAATGTATTATTATTCAGAAATACCAAGCACAGTCACTCAAAATTATAAAAACATTGACTAATCATTATATAACGGATACAATTTTTATCCAAAAACCTAAGTATCTGTTAAATATCAGCGCAGTATTTATGCTGTTCCTAATATTGCCAGTTTAAAAAATAATCTCTAGTGCTGTTGTTTCTGAGATCTTCAACTGCTTATAGTACTGTGTGAAACTTCTTGATATTTTCCACAAAGCCACAATGACTACAGGGACCACTGAAGTGGTCATCCACAAGTGAGATGTTTAGATTGTCAGATCTCTGTATTTTGTTAGTTTTTCCAGTTCTTTATCTTGAACTCTGGCATCCCCTGGAACTGCAATGTCAATGATCCAGACATTTCTTCATTCTATTACTACTGTGTCTGGTGCGTTATGTTCAAGGTGTCTGTCCATTTGGATTTAGAAATCCCACAAGATCTTGACTTCCTCATTTTCTGACACATTCTCTACCTACTGTTCCCATGGGTTTTTGGAAGTTAGCAACTCATATTTTTTGCACCAGTGTACTAATTTTGCCATTCTATCATGTCTAATTTTGTAATCTGCTTGTGCACTCTTTGGACTTTCACAGATGAGGTGTGACACAGTTTCATCTTTTTCTTTGCAGAGTTGATATTTGCAGTTAGCACTAATTCCTTGAATCTTAGCTTTCATCACATTGGTTTTGAGTGTTTGTTCTTGTGCAGCAAAAATCAAGCCTTCAGTTTCTTTCTTGATGGTCCCCAGTTTTAGCCATGCCCATGTTAATTTATTATCGTGCTTTCCATCAATATTTCTCAGGCGTTGTCCTTGTAGTGGTTTATTTTGCCAACTGATTAATTTATTTTCAAGTTGTTGTTTCTTATATTGAGCCTTTGTTTCTGTTGTTTTCAACATATTATCCAGCAGCTACTATGTTCTCTAGACTCACAAAGAGAGTATGGCTCAACAAAAAACTGACGGACTATACAAAGATCCAGGTCTATAGAGCTTGTGTCCTGCCAGGTAATGCCCCAAACACTCCTGTACTGCAGTGAGTCCTGGACCCTTTGTGTACGGCAGGAGAGGAAGTTGAACACATTCCATACGCGTTGCCTCCGATGCATTTTGGGCATCACCTGGCAGGACAGTGTTCCAAATAGTGTAGTCCTCTAGCGAGCTGGAATTGTTAGCATGTATACATTACTGAAACAGCGACGTCTACATTGGTTTGGGCATGTTGTGAAAATGGCTGATGGTCAGATTCCAAAAGATCTCCTACTCTATATGGAGAATTAGTGCAGGGAAATCGCCCCAGAGGAAGACCACAGCTGCAATACAAGGACATCTGCAAGTGGGATCTGAAGGCCTTAGGAATGGACCTCAACAGATGGGAAACCTTGAGATCTAGCATTCAGCCTGGAGGCAGGCGTTGCATCACAGCCTCTCCCATTTTGAAGAGGCTCTTGTCCAGCAGGCCGAGGCCAAGAGGCAGTCACAAAAGCAGCAAAATCAGGGAACTGAACAGGGGACAGATTGTATTTGTCTTCAGCGTGGAAGGAATTGTCACTCTCGAACTGGCCTTCTCAGCCACACTAGACACTGTTCCAAGACCTATATTCAGAGCACATTACCATAGTCTCTCAAGACTGAAGGATCCCTACTTATATCCAGTGGCACATCTCAAATGAATCATTTGTTTTTCCTGTCAGCTTTCTTTACTGTCCAGCTTCCATACCTATACATAGTGATTGGAAATATGATAGTGTGGATCTCTCTCCTTAAATCTGCTTGTTTCTCAGTGTTTGCCTTCAATCCCACAGGGAAAGAACTGGCAGGTGCACCGTAACTATGAGGAGTTCCGGACTTTGGACGCTCATCTACATTGCTGCATTTTTGACAGGCGTTTCTCTCAGCTTCCTGAACTGCCACCCTTCAGCCACATGCGGGCTCACCCGGAGGTATCTGTGTGAGAATTATTTTGTGTGTGTATGTGTGTATTCCACCAGCCTATTCTCCTAGAACCTTATATTCACCCACAGTTCCAATTTATCTTTGGTCAAAGGCCTTGATGACTGGGAATGATGGAAGCTATAGTACAACACCTTTGAAAGGTATGGATTTGGGAAGGCTGCACTAGAGATCATATTGGACTGTAACTCCCACCAGCTCTAGCTAACATGCCGTAAAGTGAAGAACTGTGGGGGTTGCACACACAGGAATGGGGCTTCTCCATCTCTGTCTGGGAGCAACAGTGGGGAAAAAACTCTCCTCATTGTCTAAACCTACCTGACCTTTAATGATATAATACAGTGGTGCCTCGCTTAACAAGGATAATCCGTTCCAGTGAAATCGCTGTAGAGCGAAATCCTCGTTAAGCGAAATTTTAAAAATTCCATCGAAACATATTGAAAACCCGTTCAATGCGTTCCAATGGGCTGAAAAACTCACCATCCAGTGAAGATCCTCCATAGGGGCGGCCATTTTCGGTGCCTGTATAGCGAGGAATCCGTCCAAAAACACAGCGGGGAGCCATTTTACACAGCAGTCGGCCATTTTGAAGCCGCCGATCAGCTGTTTTAAAAACGTTGTAATGTGAAGAATCGGTTCCCGAAGCAGGGAACCGATCGTCGCAAAGTGGATTTTGCTTATTAAAACATCATTTTGCAATCGCAGTCATCATATAGCGGTTTTGTCATTAAGTGAGGCAATCGTTAAGCAAGGCACCACCGTATTAGGTGGAGTAGCTGATCCTACCATACAGCGGAGTATATTCAATCACTACTTTCTTGACTGGATAGCAAGACCTTTCTTTGCCCATGATCTTGGAGAACTTAGTGTCAACCATACGGGACAGTTACTCTGATCTAGTATAACGCAGCTCCTTAAGATCCATTTCCATAAGATTCCTTGTAGGGCCTGCTTTATCCATAGAGTGAGGGAACTATATAATCTGCTAGATCCTGCGGTATGGCTGCAGAGGTCCTCATTGTGTTTCTTTAGTTTTCCAACCATTCCCCTTTGCTGAAAGACAGAGTTGTGTGTGCTGCACAATGTTTCTCGATCTCTTAAATTGCCATGCTGCCGTGAGATGAAAATTGCATTCCTTTCTTTTTTGTGATCTGTGATTCCACACATATGGGTTCAGACCTACGTGAATGTTCTTGGAATCTAAAGAAGTATTAGGAAGCACCCTCTCCACCACGCATGCTCCACACCACCAGGACAGTCCTCAGTTCCCTCCGTTTGCTGCTGAGAGAACGCTTCAGGAGTTTTTCTTAGAGCTTACTGTTGCTAGTTTTTCTCCAAACCATTTATATGTAGTTTTTCTTACCTCGCTTCTCTTCTCCTCTTTGTTGTTCCTAAAAAAATGTTTATTTCTTGTTACTTTTTTATGGCCCCAACAGACCCATCCAGAAGATTCTTTAGTTGTAATAATAAACTTGCCTTCACTGATGGAGTGTTTATATTGCCTCAGTAAGGGGCATCAATGACAAAACTGTCAGTTCTGCAAAAAATTTTTATGAAGGTAGCCATCAAGAACCACCAGTCAGGCCTGAAATTTGATCTGTGGGAAAAGTCTCTGCAGACGGTTGATGCTATTTTCAAAAAGATTCCTACAACTGCAGCCTGTGAACTCCATCAAATAAATCTCTTATGGAGGCTCCCCAGACCAGTTCGACCTCTACTAAGACTTGTTGAGGCTGTCTGCTGAGATAGACACGAGCCAGCAAACTCTGACTCTGAATCTCAAAATCGAGGACATCCACTTCCAAGTCACTGAAGCCACCACCATTGATGCAGAAAAGAAGGAAGAAATCTCCTGATTCTGATCATCAGTTGAAAAAGGCCAGAATCAGGTAGTCAAAGTGCCCAAACTCCTCTGTCCAAATTACTGCCACTGTTGCCTCACTGTCTCTTGCCCCATGTCAAGTCTGCCGTTGGACATGAGGAGGAGCACCATGACTTGATCTACCTGGGCTCGGCATTGGAGGGAGAGATGACCAGGGTTGAGGGCATCATACCCCCACCTTCAGCCAATTGCTCAAATTGAGCTAACTGATCCAGCAGACCTTGAGCAAGTTATGCTTGCACTGTCACAACTCAAAAGCTGCAGCAGCAAATGAATTGCTCAGTTTTCAGCAGCGATCTAGGGTGCCTTCTTCAGCATTGGGCTCAACTCTTAAAGATAAAAGGGTCCACAGCAGGAAAGAGACTGGCCTAATGCCAACACTGGCACCAACCTGGTCCCAGCCTTCAACATTGATCAGACATTACAGATTGAGCATCCAGGCTAGGTTGGATGCTGCATTTGGCAGAGTGGTGAATCTCTCTATTGGCATGACATCCCAACAGCTTCCTCGTCGCCCACCTGTGATTTCATAGAGCCTGTGAAGAAGGTTGCCTCTAACTATAGTTCTTCATCTGTGGATTTATACAACCCACCTGTCTTACCCTCTGTCTACCTCACACCTCCTGTGGTTTCTGAATCGGCGGCAGACTGGGGGACATGAGGACTGCCCTCAGAGTGGGGAGCATGCATGGTGGAGGGTGTGTCTCCTAGGCTCAAGAACTGTGGTTCCTAACCTTGAGTCCCCCAAATGTTCTTGGACTAAAACTTGCAGAAACTTTCACCACTAGCTGTGGTGGCCAGATTTTCCGGGGGTTTTTAAGTTAAAAAACATCTGGGGACCCACATCTGGCAACCACTGTTCTGGAAGATTCTGAGGATGGTCACACAGGTGAAGGATGAACCCATATGCATGAATTCACAGATAACCACTTGAAAAACTACAGTTGCGGGTAAGCAACCTGTCCGTCACTGCTTTTGAAGTGAGATTCATCTAGGTGGCCAGTCAGCCAAAATGCCTTGGTCCTGCCTGATGCTTGAATTTGGGAGAAATTGTCCCAGTGATGTCCTGCTAACTTGTTTCTTTCCCTCACCAGCTGCTGGTACCCATGCTCTCACAGTACCTGGAGAAACTTTCAGCTATTGTGGACAGCAACATCAACTGTGGGCCAGTTCTCACCTGGATGGAGGTGAATGACATGGGGGGTGGGTGGGAAATGCAGCAGAGGTCACTTAGCTTGAAATGTTGCTTTTTCAAGTCCAGCTTCTGGAATCTACCAGACATGCTGGCTATAGGATTTTGAGAGCTGTACAGTAGGACCCTGCTATCCATGGGATCCGTAGTCACGGATTCAGTTATCCGCTACCCAAAAATAATAAGCAAAAACACCTGACAATGCTGTGATCAGAACTGGGCACTAGAGGGAACTAGAGACTATATTATCTGTATGATTTGGTATAATCTGCAGTTTTCTGTATCTGCAGGGGTCGGGGCTTGGAACCGATCCCCTTGGGGTCCTGCGGTTCTACTGCAGTCCAGAAAAATAACTTTTCTAAACTCTAGTCCTGTAGGCAACTTATTTTTGCCCAGATTAATCTGTCTCAGTTTTTCCTGTTCCTTCCTAAGATTGTCTGAATGCCTGGAAATGCCAACACAATTTGGTTCCAGGTACAGTGGTGCCTCACTTAACGATGATAATCCGTTCCAGGAAAATCGCAGTTAAGCGAAAACATCGTAAAGTGAAAATAAAAACCCCATTGAAACGCATTGAAACCCGTTCAGTGTGTTCCAGTGGGGTAAAAGCTCACCGTCCAGCGAAGATATGGCGGCCATTTTTGCTGCCTGTATAGCGAGGAATCCATCCCTAAAAACAGCAGGGAGCCATTTTAATCACCCGGCGGCCATTTTGAAACCACCGATCAGCTGTTCAAAAAACGTTTTGCGAAGAATCAGTTCCCGAAGCAGGGAACCAATCATCGCAAAGCGAAATTCCCCCATTCAGACCAAGACTAATCTGTCTCAGTTTTTTATTGTTCCTTCCTAAGATTGTCTGAATGCCTGGAAATGTCAACAACATTTGGTTCCAGGTAGTGCCAGTTGTAGCTTTAGATTTTCAATTTTGAAACCACCGATCAGCTGTTCAAAAAACGTTTTGCGAAGAATCAGTTCCCGAAGCAGGGAACCAATCATCGCAAAGCGAAATTCCCCCATTCAGACCATCGTTTTGTGGTCACAATTGCGATCGCAAAAAGATCGTCATTAAGCGGTTTCATCGTAATGCGGGGCAATCGTAAAGCGAGGCACCACTGTAGTGCCACTTGTAGCTTTAGATTTTCAGTAAAACCGCAGCTTACAAATCAATACATGTTTATTATAAGCATGAGAAGCTGGTGCATTACAACATAGTGACTAAGGAATATGACTTGTAACCTTGAAAGCCAAGGGTTCAAATGTTACTTCAGCCACAAACTCACAAAATAGCTGGAGGCAAATCTATGTTATTTCCATCTCTCCTATGAGGATGGTGTTTGGCTTGTCTTTCCTCTGAGCTGAGAACTTTTGTGTCCCAATGATGAAGCATTGTAGGAGCAAAAATATGTTGTGTGCCAAATATCCCCTCTCCTGCTGTTGTAATAATTGCTATGATATTAATGTATGTGAAATGATTCAGATGCTTGTAATGCACTGCAGAAAAGCTAAAGAAGGTGTACTACTATCTTGGTGTTAAACTGAAGTTGTTGAGACAGTGATTATAATGTTTCCGGGGTCTCATAAATTGCTTCTGATGTATTTTGATCACCTCAGTTTCTGCCTGCCATAAAAGTGTCAAAAGTGTAAAACCAGGGTGGTAGCTCTCTCTCTCTCTCTCTCTCTCTCTCCTTCCTATCTAATCTATCTATTACACTTTTATACTACACCATCTGGCCTGGACCACACTACATGGTGTACAACAGACTGGGTTGTGTCCTCCCACCTCTGTTTTCTATCCTCCCCCTTCCCCAGGTACAGTATTATCCCAAAGGATGCCTATAGGGCCTTCTAAGGCTCCATCTCCTTCATTTGTATCTCCTCTTCCTCTCCAGATTGATAACCATGGCAACCGCCTCTTGGTGAATGAAGAGGCTTCTATCAATGTCCCTGCCATTGCAGCGGCTCATGTCGTTAAACGCTATACAGCACAAGCATCTGATGAGCTCTCCTTTGAAGTAAGCCTTGCCCTGCGATGTACTTTGCTTCAGATGTTCTTTCTTCCCAGGTGTATATTTTCCTAAGTATGCAATGGTATACAATGACTTTTTCATCTCTTTCCCCAGTTTTGGAAATAGAGGCCAGAATCTTGTTCATTTATATAAACACAGAGGGCCAGTGGTGTAAACATTCCATACCTGACTCACAATGTACAATTGACATATCAGGGAGGAATCTTTCACAAAATCTATATGAATTATAAAATCCTGGAAAAGACAATAATGCTGGGAAAGGTGGAAGGCAGCAGGAAAAGAGGAAGACCCAACACGAGATGGACTGACTCCATAACAGAAACCACGGGCTTTTGTTTACAAGAGCTAAGCAGGGCAGTTGAAAACAGGACATTTTGGAGAGTGCTCATTTTTGTAGGGTTGCCATGGGTTGTAGGCAACTTGATGGCACGTAACAACAACATATTATAGAGTACTACGTACCTTGGTTCGTGTGGAATGCTCTATGCCATCAGTAGGCCCAAAGCTTGGAAATATATGACTACTTGTAAAGTATTACTTTCTTTTCAGTAATTAAGGAACAATTAAATTACATTCCAAATGCAACTTAGTGAGGGATATCTTCACTCCTTTTGAGATGCAGCAATAACTTTTAGAGTTACATTTATAATTACTGTGGAGATGACTGACAAAATAGTTTCCTCCACTACCATCTGGTGAGGCCCATGTTCCCTAGCCGTAAAGGAGGCTAAAGAAATAACGGCTGTGTTCTGACCGCCTAGAGTGACCAGATGCTGACAAAATAGTTTCCTCCACTACCATCTAGTGAGGCCCATGTTCCCTAGTCGTAAAGGAGGCTAAAGAATAACAGCTGTGTTCTGACCGTCTAGAGTGACCAGATGGGCGGGATATAAATAGAATGAATGAATGAATCAATGAATGAATAAATAATTAACTAACTAACTAAATAAATAAATAAATAAATAAATAAGGAATTGTCATCCTTTGTGGAGTGGCAATCGTAAGTAATGTAGTCATGTGATAATTATGGAGGAAAGTAATTCATTACAGTGTTCAATATTTGTACTTAATAAAAATTATATTCTGATTTATAGTGACACTTTTCAGTGTTTTCCAGGTAGAGACTACTTAGACGTTGTTTACCATTCCCTGTTTCTGGGGATATCCTGGGATTGTGCAGCTTGCCCAGGACGATACAGGAGGCACAGGAGGGAACTGGACTCCTGACTCTTCAGCCAGAGACCTAAACCACTAAATTGCTTCTAAACTACAGATTAACAGCACAAGCGATGAATTTCAAGTTCTTGGTCCAGATATTGCATAACCCTTGCTCTTACTGGCTAGCCCGTTATCTTTCTGCACTCCATATCACAATTTCTGCAGTGTTTCTCATGTGAAATGCTGAAGCATGTGTATGCAGTGTACCCAGTTATGAGTCAATATTAGTCAGTCCCTTTAGATCAACATCTTTGAATGTGTGACGCTCTAGTGACTTAAAATGTTTATCTCTTCAGACTGTAGCTTGCTATTTTTGTTGAAGCCAGAAAGGGGGTAAATTCATGCTGAAGGATTAGTCCAATTCTTATAATTTAGTTAAAATAATATACCTTCTGGCTAGTTGCCAGACATACGTTCAGAACTGCAAGATGTGTTGGCTTCTCAGAGAAGCAGAACAAAATGTACTATCAACAAATGCTGTCAAAATGTATATCTGTATTGCAAAATGTACAAACCAAGTGTTCCCTGACCTCTGTAAATATGTTTGTGTGTTTTATTCTACCCCTCTTTTTTTTAAAAAAAACTTCCATATGCATGTCAACAATATTGTCAACCTAACAACATTTTTTTAAGGATGATTGTGGTAATGTAGATACTGTACAGCCCTTAAGAAAGTCACCGTTTGAATGCTGTGTATATTATTGCAGGCAATCTATGAAAGTGACACCTCCAGTTCTAATCCATGTTGCAATGGGTGCATGTGCTGACAGTTTTTTTTCTTTTAATCTGCCTGGCACAGGTTGGAGATATCATCTCTGTGATAGATATGCCCCCCAAGGAGGACAGGAGCTGGTGGCGTGGGAAGCATGGATTCCAGGTTGGACCTCAGAGCAAAGAGACCTAGCCAGGGAGATTTACTATGGCATAAGTTTCATGACTTGTTTTTAAGCTGAGCCACGTTTCTTGGGACCATGGTTCAGCTTAGAAATGAGATATACAGTGGTGCCTCGCTTTACGATTGCCCCACATTACGACAAATCTGCTTTACGACAATCATTTCGCGATCATAAAACGATGGTCTAAATGGGGGAATTTCGCTTTGCGATGATCGGTTCCCTGCTTCGGGAACCGATTCTTCACAAAAGGATGTTTTTCTAACAGCTGATCGGCGGTTTCAAAATGGCCGCCGGGTAATTAAAATGGCTCCCCGCTGTGTTTAGGGACGGATTCCTCGATGTACAGGCAGTGAAAATGGCCGCCACATGGAGGATCTTCGCTGGACTGTGAGTTTTTACCCCATTGGAATGCATTGAACGGGTTTCAATGTGTTTCAATGGAGTTTTTAAATTTCGCTTTCCGATGTTTTCGCTTAACAACGATTTTCCTGAAACGGATTATCGTCGTTAAGCGAGGCACCACTGTATGTGCCTTCATGCCTTGTTTAAGAGCAGTGATTCCCAGCCCTGGGTAAGCCAGGTGTTCTTGGATTGCAACCCCCCCCGTGACCCCAGCCAGCACAGCTAGTGGTGAAAGTTTCTGGGGATTGCAGTTCAAGAACAACTGGCTTACTTAAGGTTGGGAAGCACCGTTTTAAAGCAAAAATGCAGCTATTTCCCTACTAATAAAATGCAGTGGAAAATGTGGCAGTGGCTAAATGAGGCCACATAAACAGGGGCAGAGTACATAGCGCTTATGTGTTCCATGTTGCCAACAACAACAACAACACAGTGCTACTTGCTCGCATTTCCAGAATTGGTTTACGATTCTGGTGGTGCTGCAAAGCTTAAATGAAAGGAGGTACACCCTATAAATGTAGAGTTTCAGTAAGGAAAAAGAAACATTTGGTACAAATATAAAAATCAATTTAAGGAGGAAAACAACACATTTTTGTCTTTCTGCGTGGCATAATTTTAGCACTGTATTAGTTTACTCTCCAAAATGTTAATTTAGAGCAGGAATATGTTTTAACCAGCATTTTAAAAAGAAAGAAAATAGCCTAGTGGTAGGACTGAAATAATAATAATAAAAACACACTTTGTCTTAAAATGCAAACTGAGCTCTAATTTTTAAAATGGTGTATTAGGCAAGTTGCATATTCTTTATCCATGTTCTACATCTCTAGTGTGAACAGACCAGAACAGCTTGTACCTGGGCCAAACAAAAGCGCTGTTCTTCCCCTTTAAGTGTGGAGAGTCGGTTGCAGTTCCTAGAATGTTCCATCCTATCTGGCTTACAGAGCTTTCTGGGAGTTGTGGTTCTCCCCCCCCCCCCAAAAAAAAATCCTTTGAGCAGTGCTGGGTTATAATGCATAATGTTATGAATGTAAGGATTAATGGATTTATTGTGGTGAAAACATATATTGCAAAAGCAGATTGTAGAATGCAATTGTAACAAATAAGTGCCTGAAATTCTCTTGTATAACTTCTACCTATAGAAGAGTGCTGATATTACCAGCGGGAGTGGGGTGCATAATTAAAAACTTCGTACTTCTGTGCTATGGTCTTTCTGATTCACAGGTAGTCCATTTCTTTGTGTGGAACCTATGGGAGGCATGGAACGGAAGGAGGAAGTCTTTAACCGCCCAGAGTAGACCTTTGGTCTAGATGGGCGGGATAGAAATCTAATAAATAAATAAATAAGTAAATTAGTTGCTGAATGTCCTTCCCCTCCGCTGGTGATGTCATCCAGTTAAAGACATCCTTCTTGTGTCCTGTGGTCCTGCAACTTCCATGTAATGAAAGGGATTATACAGGAGTCAGAAAAGCCAGGGGACAAAGAGGAGGAAGTTTTTAATTATTGAACATTGCCCTGGCTGGCAATCTCACCACGTTTCTAAAGGCGTGGTTACATCAACAGGAATTCAGCCAGTCAAAGTTTGGTGGTCCAAGTTTATGATTTGTATTAGGACATTTTACAGCTTGTGAGACTGAAGAAGACACCTGAAGTAAGATGTCTGGAACTTCGGCCTCACGTTTTTTTTACAGCTGGATGAAGTTTTTAATTTTTTGCTACGTACTGAATGTCTACCCATGTTTTACTCTTAGTAAATTCACATTTGGTTAAAGGATTTATGCCTAGCACGTAACCTTTTTTTTAATAACTGTACTTTACAAACTAGCTTTGTATGCATTCTTCCATTTTCGTAATACTGTACTTGATTACTCTTAGTGGTTTGGTCATTTATTGTTACACAGCCCTTGCCTTCCCTGTTTTTTGTCCCATTCTTGTGAGCCATGATCATGTGTAGCAGACATATATGGCAGGAGGGATGCAGGTAGTAAAAATGGAATTCGGATTGCAGCTGGGCATGTTCTGCATTGTCCGGAAGCAAGCGAGCCTCTTTCTCTTAAGTATGCAGCAATGCTGCCTTTGCTGGTCTCTTTTTCCAGGTGGGCTTCTTCCCCAGTGAATGCGTGGAGCTGTTCTCCGAACGCCCCAGCCCAGGACTCAAAGCAGGTGAGAAAGTCTTCTGCTCTCCCTCTGCAGAGCATCAACATCAGACAAGCGAAGGGTTAGACCAGACTGTCTGTAAACTCCTGCCTATGGTGTGTGATGCTGTGACACTCCCTTAAACTGTTTGGCTGCTGGTTCTCTGGGCCTGGGCAAGTTGCCTTATTTGGAGTACAGCTTCCAGAATCTTTCTGCAAAATGGCCTGCGTCTATCTAAAAAGTAACTTTTCCAAACATCGTTAATTTTCGTACATTGGTGATTGCAGTCGTGTTATCATTCCCACATCATTCCCATATCGAAGTTCCAGAAATTGTTTTTTTAAAAATACTGTAATACAGTAAATAACAACTTTCATTTGAATTAATAAACTGTGGTTAACAGCTTCAAAACAAACCAGGATGTTAACTTACTCTTTCTGGTCTATTACATCCTGTCTGTGTCTCCCTTGCATAGATGCTGAAGGAATCAGCTGTGGTATCCCCCAACCCCCTGGCCTTCTCTCCCCAACATCAGGTGAGACATAACCTAATCTCGTTTATGCTGCCTTTAGCACAAGTCAGTAATTCTTTGGTGTAGGAGCAGGAGGAGAAAGTCATTTGGGCTGTGGCTTTAACCCAAGCAACCTGATTTGCATTTGTAGTCGGACGGTGTGGATTGGAGCAGAGTTAACCTTCACTGTACAATTCTCTGGATTTTTGTAGTGCAGTTCTGGGATTTAAAATTTCACTCAAATGTGTACATCATAGAGCGGTACACACAACATTTGTGTGATAGGGCAACTGCATGTGGGGAAAAATGCCAATGTTTAAAAATTCTTTTTAAAAATTGCATAGTGACATGGAAATTGGATGAAACCACCAGACATGAAAGCAGCATGGACTAGATACAGATTTGTGTCCCTCACGTTCTGCATAGGATGCCTTGTAGTAATTTAAACTACTAATCTGAGGGCAAATGGCAAGTGACAGTAAAACTGGACTATGACTGAGGATCTGGACTTGGTTCGATTCCTCACTTAGCCATAGAAATACTTGGGGGGGGGAAGAGGTAAAACCACTCCTTATATACCTCCCTTACTTTAACAACCCTGTTAGGGTCACTATACTTATATTAAAGGTGTTCAGTGGGTTAAGCTCTTTCCCTCTGGCACTTCAGTCTCTGCTTCTGACCCAACTGAGGTCAATAACAACATTCGGACTTGGTTCGATTCCTCACTTAGCCATAGAAATACTTGGGGGGGGGAAGAGGTAAAACCACTCCTTATATACCTCCCTTACTTTAACAACCCTGTTAGGGTCACTATACTTATATTAAAGGTGTTCAGTGGGTTAAGCTCTTTCCCTCTGGCACTTCAGTCTCTGCTTCTGACCCAACTGAGGTCAATAACAGCATTCCCTTGGTATACAGTTGTGCCCCGCATAGCGACGTTAATCCGTTCCGGATTAATCGTCGCTATGTGAAAACATCGCTAAACAGAATGGAAAAACCAATAGGAACGAAGTTTAATACATTTCTATGGGGCCCAGACTCACCATTCAGTGAAGATCCTCCATAGCGCTGCCATTTTCGCGCCCTCGGTAAGCGAGGAAACCGTGCGAAAATGGTTGCGGCGGCCATTTTGGGCACCTGGCGGCCATTTTGGAACCGCCGATCAGCTGTTTAAAAATCATTGCAATGCGAAGATCGGTAAGCGAAACTCTTACCGATCATCGCAATGCAATGTTTTGCCCATTAAAACATCGCAATGCCATCGCATTAGCGATCTAAAAAAATAGATCGCTATGCGGATTTGTCGTTAAACGGTGCGCTCATTATGTGAGGCACCACTGTAGTAGCTTTGGGATGGTGATCTTCAGCAGCCCCATAGCATGTGCTACATAAAAGAAAGATTCTTAGGGTAACATTTTGTGTATTATAGGGGCAAGGGATGCATGGCCATCAGTATTTTGTGAGTCCTGTGTAGTCCAGGGCCACTTACAGTGTCGGCTAGGGCTGACGGAAGTGGGGAGTCTACCAATGTCTAGAAGGTCACCCCTTCCCCATCTCTCCTGTCTGGTACATTTAACTTGCCCTCCTCCGTTGCCTCTCCCACCCACTTCCTCCAATCCCTTCCCTTCCCTCCCAGTCTCCAAGAAACACGGCAAGCTTATTGGCTTCCTTCGCACCTTCATGAAGTCCAGGCCCAGCAAGCAGCGCCTGAAGCAGCGCGGGATTCTTCGGGAAAGAGTCTTCGGCTGTGATTTGGGGGAACACCTCAAGAATTCAGGAAGTGATGGTATGTTTGTAGAAATGGATCCTCTCTGAACCAGACAGCATAGCAACCTCTGCTTACTAGCACGGTGTAGTTGCTCTTCACCCAAAGAATTCAGTGTATATATTTCTGCCACCCACTCTTACAGCTTCACAACAACCTTGTCAGTTGAGTTAGGTTGAGTGTGTGTGACTGGCCGAAGGTCATGGCCGCTAGATGTGCTGAACCACAATTCCCATAATCCTGCAGATGCTGTAGTCCAATATTACCTGGGACCATACTGATCAGGAGATTCCTGGAGTTACAGTCCATGAAAGTAACATTCCCAAACGGTGTCACACTCTGGCTCTCATCTAATTGCAGTGGAAGAGAGAAAAGAGGTTAAATAGCAGAGAGTTCTGCTGTTCTGCTTCCAAGCTGTTGGCAGGCAGGCAGGCAGCTCAGGAAAAGTTCAGACAGCGCTCTAGGCAGCCTCTGAGGTAGCAAAACAAAATTATGTCCTTTTTTGTGATTAGACATCTGGCTGCGAGGCTAAAGATTGGGAGTTAGATTCCCTGCTGTGCCTCCTGGGAGGAGAGCCAGCCTGTGTAGCCTTGGGCAAGCTGCTAAGTCTCAGGACATCCCCCAGAAGAAGGGAACGGAAAACCCTGAAAAGAGTCACCATACGTCAGAAATGACTTGATGGCACATCATTTTTACTGTTAAACAAAATGAAGGGGACGCATTTGTTTCCTCCATTGTTTATTATGGTTCAAATGAAATTTAGTAGGTTTTGAGTGGACATCTATTGTTGTTGTTTAGTCGTTAAGTCGTGTCTGACTCTTCGTGACCCCATGGACCAGAGCATGGCAGGCCCTCCTGCCTTCCACTGCCTCCCGGAGTTGGGTCAAATTCATGTTGGTTGCTTCGATGACCCTGTCCAACCATCTCATCCTCTGTCATCCCCTTCTCCTCTTTCCCTCACTCTTTCCTAAGAAGTGAAGGCTTCCTTCCAGGGAGTCTTCACAAGAGAAGACCAAAGCATTGGAGCCTCAGCTTCAGGATCTGTCCTTCCAGTGAGCACTCAGGGTTGATTTCCTTTAGAATGGATAGGTTTGTTCTTCTTGCAGTCCATGGAACTCTCAAGAGCCTCCTCCAGCACCACAATTCAAAAGCATCAATTGTTCAGTGATCAGCCTTCTTTATGGTCCAGCTCTCACTTCCATACATCGCTACTGAAAAAACCATAGCTTTGACTATGCGGACCTTTGTCGGCAAGGTGATGTCTCTGCTTTTTAAGATGCTGTCTAGGTTTGTCATCACATTCCTCCCAAGAAGCAGGCGTCTTTTAATTTCATGGGTGCTGTCACCATCTGTCATTGCTTCCATACCTTCCCCTTCTATTTGTTAGGAAATGATGGGACCAGCGGTTATGATCTTAGTTTTTTTTCATGTTGAGCTTCAGACAATTTTTTGCACTCTCCTCTTTCACCCTCATTAAGACGTTCTTTAATTCCTCCTCACTTTCTGTCATCAGAGTGGTATCATCTGCATATCGGAGGTTGTTGGTATTTCTTCCGGCAATCTTAATTCTGGCTTGGGATTCCTCCAGTCCGGCCTTCTGCATGATGTATTCTGCATATAAGTTAAATAAGATGGGGGACAATATACAGCCTTGTCGTACTCCTTTCCCAATTTTAAACCCATCAGTTGTTCCATATCCAGTTCTAACTTTTGCTTCCTGTCCCACATATAGGTTTCTTAGGAGACAGATAAGGTGGTCAGGCACTCCCATTTCTTTAAGGACTTGCCATAGTTTGCTGTGGTCCACACACTCAAGGGCTCTTGCATAGTCAATGAAGCAGAAGTAGTTTTTCTGGAACTCTGGCTTTCTCCATAATCCAGCGCATGTTAGCAATTTGGTCTCTAGTTCCTCTGCCCCTTCAGAATCCAGCTTGTACTTCTGGGAGTTCTCCGTCCACATACTGCTGAAGCCTACCTTGGAGGATTTTGAGCATAACCTTGCTAGCGTGGGAAATGAGTGCAATTGTCCGGTAGTTGGAGCATTCTTTGGCACTGCCCTTCTTTGGGACTGGGATGTAGACTGCTCTTTTCTAATCCTCTGGCCACTGCTGAGTTTTCCAAACTTGCTGGCGTATTGAGTGTAGCACCTTAACAGCGTCATCTTTTGAGGTCTTAAATAGTTCAACTGGAATGCCATCTCCTCCACTGGCCTTTTTGTTATCCACACTTTCTAAGCCCCACTTCACTCTCCAGTGAAGTGGCTCCAGGTCAGCAACCAAACTATCTGTGTTGTCCGGGACATCTAAATCTTTCTGATATAATTCCTCTGTGTATTCTTGCCTCCTCTTCTTGATGTCTTCTGCTTCTGTGACGTCCCTACCATTTTTGTCCTTTATCATGTCCATCTTTGCACAAAATATTCCTTTAATACAGTGGTGCCTCACTTGACGAGGATAATCCGTTCCAGCAAAATCGCTGTAGAACAAAATCATCCTCAACCGAAAGTAAAAATCCCATTGAAATGCATTGAAAACCAGTTCAATGCTTTCCAAAGGGCAAAATACCTCAGCATCCAGCGAAGATCCTCCA